GACTCGATGGCACCTGACAACAACAACAACCCTGCTGAAATGCCTGTTTTAAAACTTTATGTTGAACTGTCACCAGAGGGAGTCCTTCACCAGAGGTAGTCAATCACTTGGCTCTAGATTGCTCACGGAGGTATTGGGGGATGAGGAACAGAGACAGAAGTTTTTTGTAGTATGAATATTTTTCATCCCACGACTAGTGTTGGTAGCAAAATAAACCAAGTGTGAAGCTTTAAAAAGTTCCTGGAAATATTCCATTACCCTTTAATTTCATTTTTTTAGGAACTTTTTGAAGCCCCCTCACATATCTTGACAAACTTGGTTTGCAACTGCCATAGGACCACTCATTTTGTTTTTATTTAGATACTTTTCCCTTTTAATTTTTTCCAAATTAGTACCAAGTTTTAAAAAATTCAAATGATACTCAAGGATTTATAATGCAAAGCAGAAACTTCTTGACCTGCCTCCCTCTACTCTTAGTCGTACTTCCCAGAGATAGCTGCCACTAGCCCTTGTCTTGTGTTCTTTCAGGAAGGTTACCTTGCATACACTAAATTGTATGTTTAGTCAGCTGTTTCTTGACAATGGTCTGAAAAAATGATTGACTCCGTTAGATTTCCAGGTTTTTTTCTTTTTATCCCATATAATTGCTTATAGAAAATAGATAATATCATGTGTATATCAATCAAACCAAGCCTACTGCTGTCAAGTCAATTCTGACTCATAGTAACCAGTAGGGTTTCCAAGGTTGTGGAGCTTTAGGGAAGCTGACTGATTGTCTTTTTCCTGTGGAGCAAGTGGGTGGGTTCGAACCGCTGACCTTTTGGTTAGGAATCAAGCACCCAACCACTGTGCTTTCCTAAGTATATTCCTGCATGAATTTTACTCCCTCTGTATTTGACTTCCATCCCATTGCTGGAGCCTCTTGGGTGTTTGCTTGGCTAGTGTAGTCCTTTGCTTCAAATCTGCCTCACGTATTCTAGACAGCTCTTAGCTTATTAGGCTTTATCTGCATTAGACTCTCATCTCCCTTTTCTATTATCTAGTGATTTCTGTTTGTTTCTTTTATTCTTTTCACTGTTACAGTTGTAAGGTCTTTTTGTTTTGTTTCTGTTTTTGTGAAAAAGTCGCTTTAACCATTTATGTATAATTCTTCTCTCATTACTTTCAATAGGCGCCTGCTTGTGCCAGAGCGAGAGACACTATTTAACACCCTAGCCAACAACCGGGAAATCATTAACCAACAGAGAAAGAGGTTGAATCACCTGGTGGACAGTCTCCAGCATCTCCGTCTTTATAACCAGACCTCCCAATGGAGTCTTCCCTTGGCTGTTCCTTCCCACAGCAGCACTCACAGGTTTGTGGGAAAATGGGCATGTTCATGCCTCTTGTACTCAATAAATATAGTTCAGTGAATGAGTGAATAATGGGGGAGTAACGTGGGGTAGTCTTAGTTCAGATATAGGTGTGAAACTTAACTGCTATCTGCCACTTGTGGGGTCCTAGTCTGGTTCCCTAGCCTTTCTATATTTTGTTTCTTTGCCAAAGAAATGGAAGTGACGATACCTGCCTCATGCAATTGTTGAAGTGTTGCATTAAGTCTGTAAAGCACCAAGTATTGTGCCTGATGAAATAGGTGCTTATTCGATGATAGATTCTGTGGTAATTAATAGTAGTGATATTGTTACTGGTTGGATTCAGTTGAATGACTTGTCTTCCTTGCCCAGGTTGTTCATTTTGCTTGTGTGTGCAAGCTTTCAGACCATGACACTTGTCAAGATGGTTGTGTACTTCTGCTTTTAGGCCTAATATATAGATTATAATGCCCTTTCTATTGAAGCATCACTGGTGGTATGTTTGGTAATGTACAATGTTGAGATTGCTCTCTCTCCTTCTGGATCAGTTACATTGATAAGATGGTCTGCTTCTCTGTTGAGGTTGCTCATTTCTGTTGGGGAGGATAGGGTGCTGCCCATACCCTCAGATTTCTCAGATCATAGCTTGTTGGTTTATAACACTATCCTGTTTTAGTTTTGACAGTGACCTTGAGAGCCTGCGCAATACTTTGTTAAAAACCACAATAGACTCTCACACCAAATCCTTGCCAAAAATACCAGGTAAGTACATTTTGCTCCATCTTTCAGCTCTCTTAGTTTGTAAGATATCAGAAATGGAGAAAACCAGTCTGAAGTGTTTAAGTTTCTACATTTCTTGCAGCTAAACTGTCCCCCGTGAAACAGGCACAATTGAGAAATTTCTTGGCCAAGAGGAAGACCCCACCAGTAAGATCCACTGCTCCAGGTAAAGAGAAGTAGTCCTGAATTTTTGCACATAGACCATAAAACACATGGTTTGTGGGGTAGACTGGGAAGTAGTGTGTTTTCCTTTGGACATTGGAGAAAGAAGCCATTTGTACATACCAATGAATCTTCAAGTCGTTTTGGCTTTTAAACGGTGTTTTCTATAGTCGTCTTTGTAATGCAATGGCTCCCAGTGACTGTGGGAAGACTGAGTTGACTCTAGGGATCCAAGCCTCTGCTTTAACTGGAGCAGCTTTACTTTTCTGTTTTGTGTGGAATTTTGAGTAAGATTGCATATTTTTCTTCTCAAAAATGGAGGAGAACCTAATGATGAAGTAATAATGGCTAAAAACACTTGCTAAAAAAAGCCATGTAATTTCTTTAAAACAAAAAAACTTTGCCATTGAGTTATATTACTGTACTTGAGCACTGTCAATTCGATTATGACACATAGCTACCCTTACAGTATTTTCAAGGAATGTTCTTTTTCAAGAAACATGCTTTGTTTTAATGCCAATACCTGCTTTTCTTTTTGAAACTCAGTTTCAGATTTCTTTTATACCACAATAAATGTCTCTAGATAATTAAAATAGCCAAAAGAAATTTAGTTTACTCTTACTGTACCATAATTTTTTTTTTTTTCTAACCATGTAGGGCTTAGTGAGCTAGGTAACAGCCACAGACAAATGGCATTTTTTAAAATGTTTTTCCTTATGTAAAGACTGCAATTTCTTGGTAGGTTATTGGAAAAATAAGGAGAAGTATAAAAAAGAATCAGCTCTGCAGGAGAAAGATGAGGCCTTCTATTCCTGTCTCATCTTTCCAGGACTCTGAATCCGTTTAAAGTGGCTCAGTCCTGGCCAATGAAACAAGGGCAGTGTAGGGTTTTGACTGAAGTAGGAAACAGGCATTAGTGCCCTATTCAAAGATGCCAGCTGACTATGGGTGCAGTGTGGTGAATTACATAAGATGACCCTTGTAAACAGAGTCTTTATAACTCCTACCAAATGACTGGATTTGTTGTTAAGTGCTCTCTAGCTGGTTCTGGATCATAGCGACCCTGTCTGAATATTTCTGACACTGTCAATCTTTACAGCAGCAGAAAGTCTTGTCTTTATTCTGGGGAGCGCAGACTTGTGATTCATAGTCCAGTGCTTATTCTACAGAGTCATTGCACTCCCAAATGACTAGGTGGTTGTTGAGCACCTTAAGAGTTAGTACCAACTCAGCAATGCTGTATAAGGTTTCTGAGGAGCGTCTGGTGGATTTGAATGGCCAACCTGAAGTTAGCAGTCCAGTACTTACTGATAGCACCACACCAGGACTGGATAGTGATTGGTGGTGGTTATGTGCTGTGGAGTTGATTCCAACTCATGCGACCCTGTGTAGGGTTTCGAAGATTGTGAATCTTAACAGAAGCAGAAAGCTGCATCTTTCTCCCGCTGTGGTGGTGGTTATTAAGTGTTGTCAAGTCAGTTACGACCCATAGTTACCCTGTATAGGGTTTCTGGGGAGCAACTGGTGAGCTTGAACCGCTGACCTTGCAGTTCAAACTGACTTTGCAGTCCAGCGCATCAGCCTGCAGTGACAGGATTGTGCAAATGTGAGGTGTTTTTCATAGGACTTGCTAATACTGTACACAAGGTATCCTTGGGGTGGGACCATGCAAATAAGATATATGCAACCCTAACCAGTTGATTGGTTAGCTTTGCCATTCCATCAAGCATAAAATGAGCCATTCCAGAGACCAAAAGTTGTATCTTACTGCCATCAAGAACCAAGGACCAGGAGTGGAGTCCATCCTTTGGAGAAGCAGTGGCAAAGAAGTGGTGGTAGCAGAGGCTGTTGTCCCAGGAGACGGAGCAGTGCCAGAGGAAACAAAGCCAAGTGCCTTTGGGGAGGAGTTTTGCTATTGGTGTGGGTTGCCTCCTGACACTAATAGCAAGAGAGGGGAGCTAGGTTTGCTGACACACAGGACTATATTATAAGATTCCTTGTTATAAAGGTAGTTTGAGGATTTTTAGTAAATTTATTAAAGGTTTGTACAACCTTCCATTTTCATTTTAGAGTTATTTCCATTACTTCAAAAGGTTTTCTTGTACTGGTTTGTAGTCATTCCCTGTTGCTACCCCAGACTGGCCATCACTGATCTGCTCTCTTTACAGATTTACCTTTTTGAGAAATTACTTAACAAATGAAATCATATGTAATCTTTTGGCTTGTTATGTTGTAGGATTTTGTTGTTGTTGAGATTCATCCATTATGTATACCACTTGTCAATATTGCATTCATTTTTACTCGTAATATTCCAATGTATGGATATACCATGTTTCATTTATCTTGTCATGAATCAAATTTTTGTGTATGGTATGAAGTATGACTCATACGTCATTTAAAAAAAAAAATTAGATATCTGCTTGTCTCAATGCTATTCAAAAGACTCTCCTTACTGTTTAGCAGGACTAATTTTGTTGTAAATCAGTTATCTTACGCATTGATTTGTTGATGTTAAATGCCGTTGAGTCAGTTCTTACTCAGTTGTAACCCTGCATAGGGTTTCTGAGCAGCGGCTAGTGAGTTTAAACCTCTGACCTCACGGTTCAAACAGACCTTACAGTCTAATGCTTTATCCTACAGTGCCACACCAGGAGTCCATACATTGATTGGAACTCCCTAATACCATACTGTCCTAACTGAACAATATTAAAATAAATCTCAGTACTGTTTCCTCTAGATTTTAGATTTGTGCTGTCCAGTTTAGTAGCTACGAAGCCACATGTAGCTGTTTAAATAAAAGTTAACTTGAAATTAAATAAAGTTACTTATTCAGTTCCTCTGTTTCAGTAGCCACATTTCAAGTACTTAGTAAGCACATGTGACTAGTAGCTACTTCAGTGGGAAGTACACAGACCATGTCACCATCACATAAAGTTGTACAATCTAGAGCAGGGCGTGGCACACTTGCTTAAAGGGTCAACTAGTACATATTCTAGGTTTTCAGGGAACTTGGTTTCTGTTGAATGTACTATACTGTCATTTCAAAGGGAAAGCACATGTAGAATACGCAAATTAATGGACTGACTGTGTACAAAAAAATTAGCATCTACTATCCCTCCCAGTAGTGGTTACGAATCGAGCTGCGAGCCGCAAGGTCAGCAGTTCGAAACTAGCAGCGGTTCTGCGGGAGAAAGATGAGGCGGTCTGCTCCCGTAAAGATTTACAGTCTCGGAAACCCTGTGTAGGGTCGCTATGCGTCGGAACCGACTCCACGGCACATCACAACAACAACAACAACAACAATCCCTCCCACTACATATTCTACTTCTCATCTGGGTTCAGTAATTCTCATTGTAGTGATTACGCAGAACTCAGACACCAACTATACTCAGTTATGGGCTTATTAGGGACTTTAACAGGTTACAGTTCAGGGTCAGAAATGCTCAAGGTACAGTCCTTCCAGTCAGTACATCTCTTCAGCTGTATGCACAGGCAGGCCTCTCAACAAAGCTCTTTTAGGACTGCTGATAAATGCTCACGGGGCATACTACTCCATTGTTAACCTCAGCCTGGAGCTGCTCTGCTCTAGCTACCCCAATTAAGTGCCTAGAGGCACCCCACTCTTAAGCAAGCCTCCTACCCAAAGTCATTCAGCTCTACTTGTTTTGTGGGCAGGAAAGCCCACTGCTCTATCTCACGTTCTAGCTCTTGGTTCTGCTGCTGGAGCTTCTCTGCCCCTCCACCAATGTCACAGCTTTCTGTCTATGGATCCAGGAGCTATAATACACAGGAATCTCTGGGTCAAAAGGGCACATTGCCCTCCTAGCTTTTCTTTGATAGCAGTGAGATTCTCTCCTGCTTTGAGATGGCTCATTTAATTACCAACATTAGAGTTCCAAGTTTTCACAATCACAGTTAACTCTGTTAAACACTCACAACTGAATTGTATCATCCTAGTAGCATCTTCTCCCCTTCTCTAACTCAACCTGTTGTTTTTAACCTCTGACCTTGTGGTTCAAACCGACCTTGAGGTTGAGTGCTTATCTTACTGTGCCACACCAGAACTTCAACCTAGCAGGGCAAAAGTGTTGTTTGATGGGAGTCAGACTCTGGGTAGAAGAGCCATATGAAGTAATTCACTGCATTGTACTGTGTTTTAAATAAATACAGAAAATTAGATAGTAGGCCCATGGTTATAGTTTGCTAACTTCTGATCCAGTGTTTTGGTGCTTTAAATTTATGTATTATTATGATTATTAGAATTACCTTGTTAAATTCTGTCTCCCAAAGAAAACTTGAGACTTTGATTGGGATTGTATCAGATTTCTAAATCAGCCTGGATGAATTGACATCCATAAAGGTTGATCTCTTAATTTCCGAACATAATGTATTCTTGTATTTATTTGGGTCTTTAAGTTCTCTTAACATTTTCTGCATGGAAGCCATGTGTATCTTTTGGTAGATTTTCTAAGAATTTAGTGTGTATCTGTTTTAATGTTATTATAATGGTGGATCTATTTATGTAAATGTCATTTTTTTTTATGTTGGATATGGTATATAGAATGTATATATATATACATACTATATACCATATCCAACATAAAAAAAAAAATGGCATTTACATAATTCGAAACTACCAGCAGCTCCGCGGGAGAAAGATGAGGCTTTCTACTCCCGTAAAGATTTACACCCTCGGAAACCCTGTACAGGGTCGCTATGGGTCGGAACCAACTCGACGGCACTTAACAACAACAACAATGGTATATAGAAATACATTAGATTTTGTATATTGACTATTATCAGCATCCTGGCTAAACTCATGTGTTACAGTAACATGTTTGTAGCTATTTCTTGAAATTTCTATGTAAACAGTTACCTCATTCATGGATATTATTTGCTTCTGCCTTTCTAGTCCTTTTATTTATTTTCCTTACCTTATGCCACTGGCTATCACCGCTAATGCAGTGTCCAGTAAAAGTGATAAGTGATGAGTGGGCATCCTTG